CCGGTATGGTAGACCCGTGGTATAGTCGTGGGTAACAGGGTGCTGAGAGTTTACAGAGGCCTGTTCATACGGTCTTGACAATGGCGACGACCTGCTGATGTCCGACTGGAACGGTACCATTCTCGGCCCACCACATGTATGTGCTCCTTTTTTCCGCGTCACAATCTGCATACTGACCCCGTCGCAGAGCGTCCACGAGAACCGCATTTACAGCGTATCGATCCACTGCGGCCCTGACTACCCCGACACTCCTCCGGAGATCAAGTTCACAACCAAGATCAACCTACCCTGCGTCAACCCTCAGAACGGAAAGGTGCGATAGTCGGAGGCGTAGATGCTGGGCGCATACTGACGATATCAGGTCGATGGATCGAAGCTGCCATGTCTGGCTCAATGGAAGCGCGATTTCACCATGGAGACGATACTGATAGAGCTCCGAAGGCTAGCACACCCATCAGCTGAAATTGATTTGCATAATACTAATTGTGCATCAGGTATATGGCGCTGCCTCAGAACAAGAAGCTTCCACAGCCACCTGAAGGCGCGATGTTCTAGAAGAACGCGCACAGCCTGCTCCAGAAAAGAACTAAGGATCAGGCATGATATGGGCATAAGATATGATGCACGAAGGAAATGAATGCGCATGGAACGGAGTTATGGTCTGCTAGCGTAGCCATACAGCCTGACAAGAGATCAGGATTATCAACAACTTATATTACTTCATTTTGCTCCTGTCTCGTTCTCTGCGGAGTCTCTAAGGAAGCTCCTACAGCAGAATATTGAAGTCAGTTACCAGCCTGGCGAATATCGAGTACCTGCATACGCGCAATGTTGTACCTTGGAAAGAGGTGGTGCGCACGTGATATCTAACATCCCAGCCCAAATCCTTCGCGTTGCGGCGCAGGCCTCGGACCTCCACCACCGAGCCATCTCATGCATGCCCCGATTCCTCCAGCCTAAACGGTCAACACAACACCGCGTAGCAGGTCAGACACTGAGCCTTTTGGTAACTACCAATCAACTCTAACATCGTTTCTAGCAATCGCTCTTTATCGAGCCTTGCTGTCGCGATGTTCCTCCGCTCCGATCCCAGATGACGACCGAGTCTCTTTGTTCAACGCCATTCGCAACAAGTTCCGGCGGAACAGGAAGATACAGAGCCCTTATCAATTGGGTCTGAGCTTCAAAGCTGGTTATGTGGTAGGTCCATGTCCCTGCAGCTTTGAATTCATCAATTGACAATAGATAGACACTCGACCATCTCGATGCCTCCGCTACTGGCAATACAGCCAGCGCAAGCACTCTGACGCAACTGATCTCTCAATTGCCTCGCGGTCTAACACGCGCCCCTCCCATAAGACGGTACGAAAAGACGACGCTACCAGACCCTCCCAAAGAACGGCTTGCGTGCCTTCCACCCGAGAGAGCCGTCCTCAACGTGCGACCCTACGCAAAAACCTCAGGACCCCGCCGCGTCCCTATCCTCGCCTCCGCAAACGGCGTGCCCTTCCTGCGCCTCACGAAGCCGCAACCTCCAGCACTGAGTCGCGTCATCCAACAGCGACTACGGCGCAAGAACGAGCTCTTCGACACGAGGGTCCTCCTGGAAAACTGGTGGCTGCCCATCTGCCAGCAGGAGGACGTGTGGGACGTACTCATAACCGCGCAATTGAGGGAGCGCGAAGATACCGTGAAATGGCAAACTGCGATTCGTGATTCATTGAGGGACAACCAGGAAGCACACCAGGCGGATATCATGAAGGATAGAATGATGACGAAGAAGATGCAGAGGGTCGTAGATATGGAGACTGAACTTGCGCTCAAGGAGGGACAGACGATTGTGAGGGGAAGGAAGAGGCATCCTTTACGCGTCATCAAGCCGGAATCATGAGCACAATATACTGTCTTATGGTTGTTCTATCTGCGCTTTGCAAGATGGGTATATGTTCGACCTGACATGCCATGCCAATGCACTGTAGTCACTATGAAGCCGCCTCAATCTTCAACTTCCCTACATCCACTCCGTCTACACCATCGTCATCGTCATCATCATCATCCACCTTGCCAACCAAGCCCCGCTGCCACAGCTCCTTACCCGTCAACTTCTTCTCTTCCTTGACAATCCTCTTCTTCTTATCCTCCAGCTCCTTCTCCTCTTCCTTCCGCCTCTTCTCATCTTCCATCTCCTTCCTAAACCTGTCTCGCCATGCGAGGAACGTCTCTCGTGTGACCGCCTCACCCTGGAACTTCTTGTTCTCTTCCTCCTCGGCTTTGGCCTTGGCGATATCAACGAGGGCTTGTTTCGCGTTTTGGCGCTCCGTTATGAGGAGCTCGGCGCTGTCTTTGAGGACGGTTACGAGGGTGAAGACCATGGCCATGCCGAGGTTCTCTTCTATCGTCTCTGTGAGCGAGTCTAGCAGGCGTTGCTTGTCTTCTTGTATGTCGAGGTATTGGTGTCGTGGCGCGTTGGGCGGTTGTGTTACGTCGAGTCGGGGGGCTTCGTCGGGGTAGTTGGGCGGGTAGGAGACGTTTAGGATAATGACAGCTGGTGGGCGTGAGTTGAGGTCTTTATGTAGATATGATGCAGTCGCATACGTTGCTCTTCTTCGGTCTCAACGTCTTCGTGGCGGCCATCGTCGAGCGTTATTGCGATTCGGAACTCTGTCTCGGAAACATCTGCGGAGTGTCAGTATGTAGTAAAAAGATGCTGCGCAAGGTAGCGCTACCTGTGATCTCGTCGGGGAATATAGACTCGAGCACCTCGCGCTCTTCTTTCTGATCTTCGATACCCATTGCGTAAAGTAGTATGGAGATTAGTAGAGTGATGGCATCTGCAAGTGACGCTGAGGCTGCTCTGGCGGGGCGCGCCTTCCCCACGTTAGCTCCGTCCGACTGCCGATCTCTAGAAATTTTTGGGAATCTTGGACCGCTACATCATACATCCACAACACCACGCAAATCTCACATCATGGCGAAAACAAAACCTACCGATCGCAAAGCGAAGAAGAGCGCAAAGAGCGGCGCAGTAAAAGAGTCGAAGAAACCAAAGGCGTCGCCAGAAGAACTTTTGATTCAAGCCGCTACCTTCCTACAAACGTCACAACCCGAAGAAGCGCTGGTCGCCGCACGAAGAGCCCTCAATCTACTCCAGCCCGGCACATCGAAACCCTCCGCTGCAGCGTTACCTGCACTGAACCTTCTCGGCGAGATCAACGTCGAATTTGGCGACCCAGACTCGGCGCGCGAAGCCTTCCAAGCAGCAATTGTAATCGACCCAGAAGGCACGAACGATGGCGCTGAGAAGTTCCTATGGCTAGCACAATTAAACGAGGAGGGAGGCGCCGAGAGTGTGCGGTGGTTCGAGAAGGGCATTGAAGTGCTGAAGAGGGAGATCAGTGAGCTGGAAGGCAAACGGGTGAAGAAGGACGAAGTCGAGGAGCTGCTAGAGGAGAAGAGGCAAAAGATAGCGAACTCGCTCTGTGGTATTGCTGAAGTCTACATGACGGATCTGTCCTGGGAAGAAGACGCCGAGGCGCGATGCAACGCTGCCGTCACCGAAGCACTACTTTTCGCACCCGAAAACCCAGAACCACTACAAACGCTCGCATCGATACGCATCTCGCAGCTCAAGCCCGACGAAGCCAAATCCGCACTGACACGGAGTATGGATCTATGGAAAGATCTCGACCCTGACGATCCCAAGGTCCCAGACTATTCGACTCGCATCAGCCTTTCTCGCCTGCTCATGGAAGCTGAGATGGAGGACGAGGCTATCGAAGTGTTGGAGCGATTAGTGGGTGAGAACGATGGCAGCGTCGATGCTTGGTATCTGGGCGGTTGGTGCCTGCACTTGCTCGCGGGAAAGCAAAAGACCGAAGGAGAGGAAAAGGTTGCAACATCACTACTGCGTGCCAGTCGCGATTGGCTGGAGAACTGCCTCAAGCTCTACAATCTGCTGGAGTGGGAGGACGAGCGGCTGAAGGAGCACGCTGACGAGATATTGAAGGAGCTCAACGACGTACTGGGTCCCTCTACCGGCGAGGAAGATGAGGACTGGGAAGACGCCGACGAGGAGATGGATGATGATGACGATGACGACAATGAGAAGATGGACGGCACGTGAATGTGAAAGTATAACTTTACAGGCCGGCTTGGCCGTGTTGAGGCCGCCGATGGTCAGCGATACGCGGCTCCGCTGTGAATGGGACCGAGATTGGGGATATTGGGCAGCACGGGCAGCATGGGCAGCAATGTTGGGATGTTACGATCGAAGTAGTACAGGCTGCGCATAGCACAAGCTGGATGTAGTGTAGATTTATTTGATACCCAGGGTGCGTGGACGGATAGCAGACGCGCGACCTGAGGCAGGCAGTTGGCAGCACCAGCGTGGGACGGGGCCCCTGCATGTGGGATGCCGCCGCGAACCTATGTAGGATGGGCACTAGGATGCTGTCAGCGGTGCCGTGACAGCTCCTGAATAGACGAAGCCACACGCCAATCATTCCCCGCTTTGCGAGCTACTGAGGTCGCGTCCCGCTTCGAGGTGCGAACGCGAAGCTGCGGCGCATCGGCGACGTGAACAGGACGTGTGTGTAGGACGAGTCGTCGCATGCGGAGCGAGTGCGCCAGTCGCTTGCAGGGCAGGCAGCCCATTGGCGCGCTGCGCTGAGGGTGTAACACCAAGGTGCGGTGGATGGGATGAGACATGGCCTGCGCTTGGCAGCTCTGTCGACGTCGCCGGCGCCGCCAACGCCACGAATAATCAATCATGCTCGTCGAGACCAAGACCGCCCTGGGGAGTTGCCGCAAAGTCAAAGTGACGCTGCGCCATCGCCCTCGCCCGCCGACGTGGTGCCTTTAGATCCCAACCCACAAAAGTCAACGCGCCCTCGCCGGCCGTCCCTCGCGCCTGCTCCGACAGATGCTCAGCAAGCCCCACACCCGTACACATCGCATTCGACGGAGAGTGCGTCGCAAACCCTCGGCCGCCCGGGCATGCCATGATCTGGTATCTTCTCTATCCGCTGCGTGGGTGAGTCGCTGCTGCCCCCAACCACGCGTCCGCCTCTAAACGCTGCTCTAGTACCACTGAACCACCACGGCTCGACACCTCGCACCCCATCCGCCGCGCGTTCCAGGCCCACGGCACTGCCACGGCCCGGCATTGGCTGCTCTCCATTGTCCTGACCATCACCGTCTCCGTCCTGCTCTGCTACCAGGCCGTCTTCCAGGCCGACAGCTCCGCCGCCGCTGCCCTCCGCAACCTGCCCAAGCATGTCTGGACATCGACCACCGAGGTCGAGGGCGAGCGCCCCGCCGATGTCGTCGTGCGCCAGGTCTGGGTCCATGGCGACTACATGAATGCAATTGCCCTGCCGGTGCTGCGCGAAGCGATGCATGTCCAGGAAGTGCTCATCAACGGCGGTTTTGACACGCGAGAGAGCGCTGCGTACGACGACCAGCACAGGCTCCAGCGCGATGCTCCGGGCTGCCTCGTGGCACCCGCCGGAGAGAAGTGGGGCTGGCACTCCCCGTTGATGTACTGGGACTGCTCGCTGAGCGCGCTGGAGAATGACGACAACCTCCTCGATACCATCAACGCCCAGAATCGCATCCGCTCGGCACTCAATGTCACCCTGCGCCCGAGCACCGTCTTTGCCGGCAAGTCCTTCTCGGCCACTAAACTTCGCGCCGCGGATGCGTTGGTTATCACGCTGTTCGACCAGACCAACTCGAGCTTGAGAGATACTTGGGACTCACGGTCGCGCCTTCTGGCTGACAAACTGGACCCAGACTGGACCATTTTCCCGCCCGACGGCCAGGTGGGGCGAAGTCGACTCTACGAGTTCCGGTTCAAGCCGATGACTTTGAACGACGACTTGTTCTTGGCAGCGTCTTACCTAGTGACCGCAGTTTATGTCATATGGAGGATGATGCAGCTGCGAGCAGTTAAGAGTTGGTTTGGTCTGCTTGTAACCATATGTGCCAAGGTAGGCTCACTCCCACATGCTACTACTTCCACTGCTAATCACCGGGCAGATGTCCATCTGCGTCATCGCCAGTTTCACACTCTGTACCTATCTTGGAATTGATTTAGCGCGAATACCCCGCCCATGGTTTCCTGGAGTTGTCTTTTGTTTTGGATTGGGAAATATGTGCGTACACTGTTGCTTCTCCCCAGCCTGGCTGACACAACTAGATTTCGTTTGATTAATGTCGTCCTCGAGACACCCCCGGAGATGCCCCCTCACCAGCGAATCGGAAATGCGCTCGGTGAAGTCGGACATCTATCTCTTGCCATTGCCTTCCAAAACCTGGCCCTTTTGTACTTTTGTTCCCGGCTCGTTTCACCCTGGGTAGCCGACTTTTGCGTCTTCGCTGCCGTCACCCTCGTATTCGACCTTGTTTTCCACTTGACCTTCTTTGTTGCTGTTCTCAGCGTCGACGTGCAAAGAATGGAACTCTCAGACTCACTGGACCGCGCCGATCTCCATCAAAACAACAACAAGAAAGGAACGGAGCGACAGTCTTGGCTTGGAGCGTTGTTAGAAGGTACCCTGCCACTCAGCACGCGCTTTGCTGGCACAGTCGCGATCTGTTCCATTATTCTCGCTATTAACTGGCACTTTTTCGACAACGACGGCAAGCAATTATCCATCGATACGCTTCGCCGCAATCTCACAATGAGGAGACGGAGACGCACCCCTGACAGCACATGGAGCCCACCACCAATCAATCAGGCTAGGACACCCGCTGATTGGCTTAGGATTCAAGATCACAATACTGCCCGGGAACTATTTGGTTTCATCAAGCCGGGTGCTTCAAGCTTCGTAGCCCGTATCTACGACCCCATCCTCGTGGTTGCGAAAGGGGCACACGGGCGCGACCGACCTCAGCCGCCGCTGTCTTTCACCGATGGAGTCCGCCGCTTTGCGCAAGGACATGCATTTCCGGTAGCCTTGCTCGTCGTTACGTTTATCGCGGCTGTAACATTATTTATGAACTATCTTCTCTGGACTGGACTTCCGAGAACTTCTGAAGAGACGGAAGATGAAGAAGTCACATTGTCTATCAAAACATTGCCGACACCACAGAACCTAGACGTTGTGCAATTGGCTTCTTGCTCGAGAGGCCATCTTGCCAGCATATCCCTTGACCGGAGCACTGCACTGTGGCTACATGGTCGCGGAGGGTATCTGCACACAACGCTACAAACAGCAACGATGAAGCCAAAGCTCTGGCCCATATATGCTACGGCTATGGACGATGGTGGTAACATCCTTGCGATCTGTGCAGACACTGGTCAGATCGGCTTATGGGACATCCCAGCATCACGATTCCTTCTGTTTCCCAAGATTGATATTCGTGGACAGGCGCCCGTTCTCTTTACCTTTGCCTACCTCAAGACACGTTTAGATGTCGAAAAGCTCTACCTTATCATCATCACACCAGACGGACATCTGACCAGGCTCGAAGCACGCACAGGCATCCACTATACCAGGCGCATATCAAGCAGTGCCATCGTCTGCACCACAACTTACACCTCACTCAAGGGCGACACGAGCGTTGTGTTCGTGACGAAGCCTGGCGAGGTCCACATCCTGCCGCTCATGGAGGAGTGCAATACGATGTCCGAGGTAGTCGCCGGTCTCGACCCCGGTCCACCTCCAGGAAGCAACCCTGCGAAGATTCGATGTATAGAGGCTGTTCCTAGTCTGGGCCTCATCTTTGCACTCCGCGACGAGGAGGCTGAGATATTCGACTTCACGAGCCGAGCGCTCGTACACTCTTTCCAGATCGGCCACGTCAAGCCGCACTCCTTCAGAGTCTTGTATCCTATGCGACGGACATGTCAATGTGGAGCTCCAACAGTGAACTCGCTTGCTGTCGCATACACAGAGCAAGACACAGACCACATGATCATGCAGAGTTTCTCCCTTGACGACAACACGTCTTCACAAATATGTCTCGGAAAACCGCTGGACAGGGAGAAGCACGGATGCCGCGGGCTCGATCATGCGAAGGAGGCAGTGCATTATGTCGAGCCTGTCGGAGTGTGGGAGGCGACGGATGCGCTCAGTGTCGTGGGGATCAGGAGGTGTTTACAGTCACCTACGCCATCGTCCACGGCTTCAGGCACTGATGAATCTAGTCAAAGCGTGGATCCAGTGGCGCTCACGTCGGCGCTCAAGCAGCGAGCTCAAAACCAAGGCAGTCCCAAGGCCACCAATTCCTTAGGGGGAGTCTTTGCCAAGGGTAGTCGAAAAGGCTTCATTGGCGACACGGACACATGGGAGGCCTGGACACTCTCAAGCACAGGCGAGTTTCGCTCACGACCACTCGTCCCGGACAACCTGGACGGCACCGCAGAGGTCCCTTATGAAGACGAGCTTTTCGTAACAGCTCCTGGGCCAATGACTAGACTAGGGAAGCGTAGCGTGGTCGTCGGCTTTGGCAACACTGTGAAGGTCATCACATTGGGCAAGGAGTCGTTCGATGGCTTGACAAATCTCCAAAGTAACGCCATGGATATTGGCCTTGGGTCGTACAAGTGGAGGGCCCGCAGAGGCACTGGCAGGAAAGTACAGTGAGGATTTGCATATGTTCGGCGCAACGGTACAGACGGGCTCGGGATTTGGGTGGTGGGTGTGATCTACGTGCAACTTCAGCTCTGGTGTTAGACTACGGATATACCCTATGCGCAGTAAGCGCGGCGTTTTCAGTGAGGCTCTTTCGGCCTTGGCCTCAGTGGGGAGATTAGCAATGTACTATATGATTGTTCGCAGCGACTGGAGCTTCACTTGAGCGTCATGGAGCCAACGTGTACATCAACCTGTGGCAATGCTCCATCAAGCAGGTGGTTTGCCGACACCCAATCGGCGGCATGAAGCGCACCTATAGCTTGAATAGCGAGAGTCGAAGCCCCGCAGCGACGTCGATGTGCATAGACAGCCATAAGTCGCACATACCGAGCCGGCTATCCGCCTAGGCAGACGGCAGTGGTGAGCAGGCTGCATCGCCGTGTGTAACAACGAGGGACAGGATCAAGCTTGGGTTGGACCGCGCGTTGGGTGCATTGCATTGATGGATACAGGCCGAGGGACGTCATGTGGCGTGTGGCTGAGGCGAGCAGTCTTGCAAGGGCAGGGTCCTCAGACGGTGTGGTTTTGCGGGGCTAGAACAGGGGAAGAGCCCTTGAGAAAAGGGCCCACGCGACCCCCGTGGGTAGTCGATCGAATCGCGGCACATGCTCAGTCCAACCCTCCCTCCATACAAGACATCCCAACCGCCCAGAGCCGCAGGTGTCTTCCTTTTTCTTTTGCGCGCAGCCATTGCTATCCCCAATTGGTACGTCATGGCCCCCTCCGACTGCGGGTGCTGGTGTTCAGAATCTACCCTTTCACATGCGCGAAGCCACCATCCATGTCCTCTCGACTCTCCCACCGCCCAGCCAACACCACACTGCACCATGAGACTAACCATGGCATAGTTCAAACATCATTATGAGTAAAGCACAATCACCTTACGACTCACTCCGGAACATACCGCAGTACTACGACAACTCGGACTCGGAGAAGTCGGCCCTCAACCTCATACTTGCGCTGCGGCCAGAATGGGAGGAAACCAAGGACACAATTGAGTTTGTGCGGTTTACCGATGGCATCACGAACACGGTATGCATATGCTCGCAGCCATGCACGGGCAACGGCCCCCTTTCTTCACGCACGGCTAAGACGACGGATAGCTTCTGAAAGCGGTGAACAACCTGCCCGGCCTGTCCAAGACCGAGATCGACGACGACGCAATCCTGCTGCGAGCATACGGAAAGGGAACAGACGTCCTCATAGACCGCGAGAGTACGTGACCATGCACCGCCGCCACGACCGAGACTAAACAAGAAAACTAGAGGAAACCCGCTCCCACTCGCTGCTCGCACGCCACAATCTCGCACCCTCTCTGTACGCGCGGTTTGAAAATGGTCTCCTATACAAGTACATTCCAGGCGACGTATGCACGCCTGAAGATTTGCGACGGCCAGACGTATGGCGAGGAGTAGCACAGAGGCTGGGAGAATGGCATGCCACATTACCTATATCGAGCATTAGCAGCACATGTCCCGCGCCCGCACAACTCACATCTCACAACAACAAGCGTGCGTCTCTAGCCGCCATGGCGACCCTCACGCCAGGCAAGCCCATCCCGAATGTGTGGACAACAATGCAGAAATGGATCCTCGCCCTGCCGACCGACACAACGGCGCAGGCCGAGCGGCGCGACGAGCTCATGCAGGAGCTCGAAAGCTTAGTAGCGTTATTGGGTGACACGCCCGGTGTAGGCGGCTCGAATCCGTTTGTCTTCGCCCATTGCGACCTCCTCTCCGGCAACGTGATTCTCGAGCCTACGCCGTCCTCTGCCTCTGCTTCGCGCCGGTCCAGTGCGTCGAGCGGGTCCGACTCGCCCGACACTGCAGCTGCATGCGTGTCGTTTATCGACTACGAATACGCGACTCCTGCTCCTGCTTCCTTTGACATAGCAAACCACTTCGCCGAATGGGGCGGTTTCGACTGCGATTACAACGCCATGCCCACACGCACCACTCGCCGCGCTTTTCTCCGCGAATACCTCCGCAGCTTCAACGCGCACCAGAATAAAAGTTACAAGGAGGAGGAGCTGGAGATGCTGTTTGAGCAGGTCGATCGCTTCCGTGGCGTTCCGGGGTTTTATTGGGGCATCTGGGCGTTGATCCAGGCGCAGATTTCGCTCATCGAGTTTGACTATGCGAGTTACGCTGAGATAAGGTTGGGCGAATACTTTGCGTGGAAGAAGACGCTTGATGGTGGTGTGGAAACAGAGAACGAGCGGATGGTGCTGAGGGAGAAGATTTGGGCGTCAGAAGAGTAGGACATGGTATGACGTTGCCGGCATGGGTATGCCTAGGAGTTTGGAAGAGTGGAGAAAGCTGGTTCGGCTGAACATTCAACATGCGATTTCCTTATTGTTCCATAGGGGCGGGCGCCTTTTTTTCTTGTTCGCTATCAGCTAGAGCACTCACCTTGTTCGCCGTTTTCTTTTTAAGCACGCTTAGTACGTTTAATACCAACTTAGAGCACGTTCGTTATGGGACTGTTACCAACTAGAACAGCCTGGGGTCTACATCGACGTTAGGGTCACCTACTTTGCATGATTCTTATCTTAATGAAGTCTCCAGATCTGTTCAGTGTTTCTTCTTTTTGAGGTGGCTGCAAAGCCCTAATCTCCTGATCTTAGACAGCACTCGAATGCTTTCATCTACTTGAGACCTGGTAGCACATCTTTGAGGAGCAAAGAAGCATATCAACAGCCAGATAAGATGTTACCTTCCATGCGCCCAGAGTGCAGGTCACTTGAAAAGCCCTTGTGCTCGACTTCTCCGGTTCCTGTAGTGTCCCGTGCATGAGACCTCCCGACTGCTCTCAGGCCCATCTCAGATCATCCTCTCACCACGACCCTCAAGCTGACATCTGGAACCCTGCCCCATAATCTTCTCCTCTCATGTTCGCCTGAACTGGGCGCTGGGTATATGGAAATAGAAGCGTATCTCGGATATTCAATCATAGTCTCACACTAGACACATTAGCACAATCTCTTTTCTCCCATTCCACAATTTGCAGACATACCATCAAGATAATCTGCTGCAATCAGCAGCTCCAGACACAGCTCTGGCGGGATATCCATATCCGACACGTCTTTGCTTTCCGCGTGCTTCTGGTTGTAGTAGAGGTACTCGCAGACCTTTTCTAACACCACACCACTAGATACCACTATTAGCCTATCCTCTTATAGTATATTGTCTGTTGGAGATATGGCGGCCCGATAGGGAATGGGAGGGATGGTCAAGGGCGGCGTACTTGATCGTAGGCAGGTCAACGCGGTTCTGTGCGTTTTCCCGAAAGCCAGCTGTTGATGCGTTAGTCGGGCTGTGTGACATCCATGTAGTAGAGAGCGACTCACAAAGTGGATCCAGTGCTTTCTTGATCGTTCCCGCTATACAGGCTGCTGAGCGGAGGATCTTGAACTCGAAGCCGTCGTTTGAGACGAGGGTGACGTATTCGGTGGGTTTGTCGTCGGCCATTGTGATGCGCGGTATGAGATATAAGTCTGATAGCTTCTGGGCGTGGCCTGAAGGCGGGATGGTTGGATATAGCGGCGTCGAGTAGGATGTTGTGAGAGAGATGGTGGGTATCGCGGGGAAGTTGCGGAGGAGAGCGCGCGCTGTCACGTTTTCTCGCGTGGGCGAACGTCGAGATGGGGAGTGGATGGCTTACATCACCCATCTGCATTAGACCATACCTTTTTAATTTCCTTGTAAAGCAGAGCCATCACGAGGGACCAATTTGAAAGAAGATTCAACCCCAGAAACAATTCCCTCTCTACGGACGAATTGACCGCATTCCACAAACGCAAAGTGCCCAATTCATGACCATGGCGCACCGCCCACGACACGTCCTCATCACAGGCGGCAGCCGAGGCATCGGCCTCGCAATCGCACAACTCTTCTCCAAAAACGCATACCGCTGCACCCTAATCTCGCGCTCAGAATCCGACCTAAAAGCCGCCATAGCAAGCCTAACACCCCTCCCATCCACCTCCTCACCAGAAACACCTTCAAATCCAGAGACATCAGAGATATCAGAACCAACATCATACCAGCACGGCTACATCGCAGGCGACATATCCCTAGGTTCCAACTTCTGGCACCTACACCCCTCGCGCCCTTTCATCGCTCACCTACCCAAGCCAGAACGAACTGCGTTCTCGACACATCCTTCGCGCATCGATGTCGTGGTGAATTGTGCGGGTGTCACGCAGGCGAAGCTCTTCTCGGGGTTGAATGAAGAGGATCTGGAAAGTATTATTCGGACGAATCTTACTTCTATGATGCTGGGGACGAAGTTTCTGTTGCGGTATGTACACCCAGACGTGTTTTACCCTTGTTATGTGAGGCTCTGTAATGTGTGCAGTTTACTGATTTGTTTACGCGGGTGGTAGGAATGGGTATCTGAGAGGTAAGAGTCAAGCTGAAGATGAGGATCCTGTCATTATCAATGTCAGTTCGCTGCTGGGTTTGCAAGGCGGCTACGGAGCCGTTGCGTATGCGGCGTCGAAAGCGGGTGTTTTGGGGTTTACGCGTGCTTTGGCTACAGAGTATGCGAGTCACAAAGTGCGGGTTAATGCCATTGTACCTGGATACGTGGAAACGGATATGACAAAAGGTACGCAGGCCACGATGATGTGAAAGAAGATATCTTCTAACCACAGCCAGACCTGAATGCCACCGAACTTCAGCAACGCATCCCGTTGAATCGTTTCGGCAGGCCCTCCGAAATCGCTCACGCAGCATTGTTCCTCGCAGAAAACCGATATGCACATAATTGTGTGTTGAACTTGGATGGCGGCTTATCTGCCGTCTGATTCCATTAACTTTACTACGCTGGTTGATGTCTTTCACATTCAACTGCCATTCCGGCCTTGCAAGACGGCCCAGTGGCGTTCTCCAGATGTGCTTCCTTCCACCAGATGATCCAGACTGAGGTATATACCCAGTGAGTCCTCCCAAAAGACGCCCATGCCAAACGTTTCCATGCGACTGATTGGTGTATAGTACAAGAAAAAGGAAATCTATATGCCGTTTGCGCTTCGGTAGCGGGTGGTTTGTTGGACTAGTGTTCGTGGTGGGATGAGTAGAATGGCTGTCAAAGACGAATGAGCGCTGGTGATCCAATGGCGGGACGAGAAGAATGAAGTATGTCGAATACTCCAATAATCGTCTGTAGACAGCCAAAACGATCATGAGGTCCAAGGTGAGGACGATGCGCCAAGATGCGGCCAGCAACAAAACTTTTGTTGTGGGCTTATTCAGTCATCATCAATGACAATCGCTCCGTCCTTGTCGTCCTCAATGGTTATGTGGCCGTCGTCTTTCTTCTGCGACTCCTCCATGACCTTGCCCTTCTTTCGGACGAGGTCGTCCTCCAGGCCTGCTTGGCTGGCTGTGCGCTTCGCAGCGCCGTTCGTGCTTCCGTTTGTGACACCATTGGTAACGGTGCCGTTGACAGTCGCATGACCGTTGGTCTCTGGCGCAGGTGCCTTGGGTTTGGTCGGAATCTTGATCTCATCGGGTAGCCTAAGCGGATTCGCATTCTCGGTGAACTCTGTGTGTATGATGCAGAGCACGAGATCAACTTTTGCGTCCTCTTCCGAGTCGTCAGAAACTGTTAGGAAGGTGTCGTTCTTCAAGTTGAGTTCCTCAAATGTCTTGTCGAGATGAATGTCTTCGTCCATGTCATAGAGTATATCTGAGTCGCGCTTGACGCTGAACTCTTCTCCGTAGCCGAGCTTCTCCTTCAGGACCATGTTGATCAGATCGCTCAGCTTCGCGCGCGGTGTATCGACGTGCAGGGTGGCATAGCATACACCACAGGTCGCACAGTGGGGATTCGGTGGTCGGAGTGATTCGCTTGAAATGACGCGCTCGGTGCTGCGGGTGAGGAAGACCATCTTGGCTTTGTCGAGCTGGTCGCGCATAACCTTGAAGGCTTGTAAGACGCAGAGACTGGCCGTCATGGCGTTTGTTGTCGCAATGGCGGGTATGATGTTGCCAGCCATTTCTGTGACCTGTTAGCAGCTATTCCAGCCATGTGTGGGGGCTTCCTTACGCTTGATGTCAAACTTGGACCGCATCTCGATGCCGAAGATGTGTGAGCGCAAATTGGCACTCGCAACGACAAAGTCGAGTGTATCTACATCGTCCTTGTCGAAGCTGAGGATAGGTGCCGCATTGCCAACGTCGGCATTTGCGCGCGTCTCTTCCAGGCGGGTGCTGAGTCGCTTTATACTGTCCACGAAGACGGCAAAGTTCTCGGCTACATTCCATGTGACTTGGTCTTGCTGCGCGATTCCCGTGCCCACACCCAGCGACTCCTGCATAAGCGCGTCGTAGTCCAACGCCTCTGGCGCCCGTTTGGTCTTCCACATGTCTTCCATGCTCCGTAACCGCTCAATGTCCTCTTTGAACACCTTGTCAAATACGAGTCGTGGGAAATCCTGGGAACCCATGGAATCGCGAATGCGCTTCAGCGCTTGTGCCTCCTTCTGCAGGTTCGCGACTTCGCTTGCGTTGTCGGCATCTTCGCTGTGATCTAGTTCGGGCGCTTCGTCCTCTGAGGTGCCAAAGATTTCGGCGAACAGATACGACTTTCCCCATACTATGCAGTGGATGGGTTGCGAGGGTGTGCTTCGGATGGTGCACACGGGGAAGGACTTGGGCGCGGCTTTCGGTGTGCAGTCGTAGCATTCGGTTTCGCCCTATGATATAATTAGCACAAACATTCACTAAGGTAGTCGCATTGAGGTCGCGCACCCGCTTGATAACCTGGACCTGTCCATTGAAGCCGGTCGTGCCACTCTCGATCAAAGGCACATTGGCGGCAAGGCACATCCTGTTGACATGTCGCCGCGCATCGAGATTGTCCAGCGCATTGAAGACGAGGCCGAAGCTCTGGAACCACGCGACGTTGAACTGGCCATCCTTGATGTTGTCGTGGTACGCAACGATGCTGACGTCGGGGTTGAACTTGCCGGCCGACTCTTTCGCAACCTATGAGCTGTCAGCGCAAGGCCTCTCACCTATTTGGGAGAGGTATTTTCTGCCGTACCAGTGCCTTGGACTTCTTGATATGCTCATTGCGGAACAGGAACTGGCGGTTGAGGTTGCTGAGATCGATGGTGTCGAGGTCGACGATGTGTATCTCGCCGAAGCCGGTGAGGACGAGGTTCTTGAGGAGTTCGCAGCCAATGCCGCCAGCTCCTACCATCAAGACGCGTGACTAAAGCGCATTAGCGACTGCCGTATGCCATGTTTG